TGTTCACTTTTTTTGCAACAGCGTTACACTGTTGACTCATATTTAGCTTGTGATCCACTGTGACCCCCAGATCCCTTTCCGCAGTACCCCTTCCTAGGCAGTCATTTCCCATTTTGTATGTGTGCAACTGATTGTTCCTTCCTAAGTGGAGTACTTTGCATTTGTCCTTATTGAATTTCATCCTATTGACTTCAGACCATTTCTCCAGTTTGGGCAGATCATTTTGAATTTTAATCGTATCCCCTAAAGTACAGGCACCCCCTCCCCGCGTGGTATTGTCTGCAGATGTTATCAGTGTGCTCTCTAATGCACCGTGTGCTGCCAGCCCTCCTCACTCAGGCATCACCGCTCACGGAGGATGTGCTCGCACTCCAGCGCCCAGCCCATCGATCGCCCCCAGAACAGCGCGATTGATTCTCACACGGGCAGGGCTGTTCGAGTGACTCGGGAGGTGAAGCGAAGTTCACTGAGCGCTGGCACACCCAGCGGGGCAGGCGGTGGGGGCTGTGCGAGGGGGCCGCGGCTCAGGCTGGGCCTGAGGGATCCAGCTCCATTCGTCTGGCTGTGCTGGGACCGCAGACCGAGCACCGACAGGCCAGGCCTGCCTCACGCCTGAGCTCCCACCCTGAGCAGCAGCCCCCTTTAGTGCCCTGCAATGAACGGTGCCCACAGCGCTGGGGCACACCTCTGCTCCATGTCCTGCACCGATGGGGGGCCCAGCCGCCTCCCTCCCCGGTTCCTTCTCCCTCTGCATCAGTTCTAAGCACCTGGGCTGCACAGCACAACTGGCACTGCCAGCCCTTCTGCCCTGCAGCATCCCAGGGCTGGGAAACCGGCCCCCGGCCCCACAGGGGCTCAAAGCACAGCCGGCTGCAGTCACCGCCTCCCTGCTCAGCCCCCTGCTGCTCCTCACCGGCTGCCCAGACCTGAGCCGGGCCCAGCTCCGTGGCAGTCCCAGGGCTTGCGCTCCCTACGCCGTGCTGTGTAAGCACTGCCAACAGCACCGGCACATGAGAGGCCAGAGCACAGAGACCCCAACAACCACCCTACCCGCATGGCCCCTCATCCCCCCCGCGGCCGGCCATGTCAGCCTGTGCCTCCCTCACAAAGCCTCCATCCCCTGCTTGCCCTCTCTCCTGGCCAGCCCCTGGGCGTTGTGTCCCCCATGTTGCCTCCTGTGTGGCTCTTTGGGTGGCAGTTTATATATATCCCCCCTCCCCCTCCGTGCGCAACAGCTGCC